TCTGATCACCTGTTGTCTGTCGTCCGTCCGTCTGTCTGTCTGTCCGTCCATCTGTAAACTTTTCACATTTTCAACTTCTTCTCAAGAACCACTGGGCCAGAAAAGCTGAAACTTATATGGAAGCATCTGGGGTAGTGTAGATTCTAAATTGTTCAGATCATGACCCCCGGGGGTAGGGCGGGGCCACAATAGGGAATCCAAGTTTTACATTGAAATATATTAAAAAATCTTTAAAAATCTTCTTTTCAAGAACCACTGGACCAATAAAGCTGAAACTTATTTGGAAACATCCTGAGGTAGTGTAGATTCTAAATTGTTCAAATCATGACCCCCAGGGGTAGGGCGGGGCCACAATAGGTATATTAAAAGGGGGAAATCTGGTAAAGAACAGCATGGCCAAAGTTACTCAGGTGAGCGATGTGGCCCATGGGCCTCTTGTTATTTTCAGTTTCATTACAATGTTTAAAGTTAAAATATTATTATTTTATTAACCTGTATTTTTGTGTCACCTGCAGAGCAGAGCTAGTAGTACACTAAGGGATCACTTTACCAAGCGTCTGTCTGTTGTCTGTCTGTCGCACCTCATATCTCAAGAACTGTAAGAGGTATGGATTTGATATTTTGCACATACATTGTTTGGCACTATGGCTATAGTAAATAACCATGATTTTTAACCTAATGACATTTGAGCCTGACATTTGACCTATTTTACAAAATAGTACTTAGTGCCGATATACAGCATATTTTTGACATTTAAGAGGTAAGTCAATGTTTTTAGCTCACCTGAGCTGAAAGCTCAAGTGAGCTTTTCTGATCACCTGTTGTCTGTCGTCCGTCCGTCTGTCTGTCTGTCCGTCCATCTGTAAACTTTTCACATTTTCAACTTCTTCTCAAGAACCACTGAGCCAATTTTAACCAAAGTTGGTACAGAGCATCCTTGGGTGAAGGGAATTTTAAATTGTTAAAATGAAGGGCCAACCACCCTTACAAGGGGAGATAATCAAGAAAGAGAAAAATAGGATGGGGTCATTAAAAAATCTTCTTATCAAGAACCACTGGGCCAGAAAAGCTGAAACTTAAGTGTAAGTTTCCTTGGGTAGTGTAGATTCTAAATTGTTCAAATCATGACCCGGGGGGTAGGGCGGGGCCACAATAGAGAATCCAAGTTGTACATTGAAATGTATAGGTAAAATCTTTAAAAATCTTATTCTCAAGAACCACTGGGCCAGAATAGCTGAAACTTATGTGGAAGCATCCTTGGGTAGTGTAGATTCTAAATTGTTCAAATCATGGCCCTCGGGGGTACGGCGGGGCCACAATAGGGAATCAAAGTTTTACATTGAAATATATTGGCAAAATCTTTAAAAATCTTCTTTTCAAGAACCACTGGGCCAGAAAAGCTGAAACTTAGGTGGAAGCTTCCTTACGTAGTGTAGATTCTAAATTGTTCAAATCATGGCCCCCGGGGGTACGACGGGGCCGCAATAATTATTACAATGGAGTGGGGGTCTGGTGAAGAACAGCAGGGCCAAATGTAACTCAGGTGAGCATTGTGGCCCATGGGCCTCTTGTTTAAGAATGTGTACTGTTTGTCATCAATCATTGTAAAATATGTCTTAAGTGTTCCTTGGAACACTGTAGTTAATTCATTGCCACTGATAATTGTTTGTGTCCATTTTTCTTTGTTTTCAGCCTTCTTTATTTCAGAATGGAAATTTTTGGGATGTTTGATGTTTTCTGTTTACTAAACCTCATTAAACCATACTTTGTGAGCATGACTTATAGAATAATTATGTCATGAACCTTAGTATGGATAATTGGGTTTTTCATTTTCTCCAAAAAGTTCATCATTTGGTTGTGTTTTCCACTAATTGTAATGACTTTTACAATATTGGTTCTTTGCCTTAGAGTAAGTAAATGTTTAAAAAAAAATTGCTAATTACTCTTTCAATGAATTAGGAAAATATTCGACTATTAAATAGTATAACTTCCTTGATATTAACTTTATTGAACTGCAGCTTTTCTTACAACATGAAACATAACATTGCTGCTCTTATTTTGATATGCAAGTAATTTTCTTCATGTTTAACATTTATGTGCACTAAATTTGTGTTTAAGGTTCATGATAGACTTCAACGCCTGGAAGTAACTTTATCTCACAGTGTAGCTCTGAAAGTTCTCAGACAAATTGGTGACCAATATATTAAAGACCTTGTAGATGCTATCCCGTCTGATTGGGGACAATGTAAACTTTATGGTTAAAGCCATAAACCAGCGACACAAGTCATCAAAACGTATGGAAAACTGGTTTGCATCTGCTGCCATTATTCAGCATGAAGAGTTTGAGAACCTACCTGACAAGGGACATCAAAGACAAGTCCTGCATATTCCAGCTGAGGACTTTCTACCATCACTAGCAGACTGGAATGTTATTTGTAAGGAGTATGTTACACTAATTAAGTGTGTTATGCAAATTTTGCAAAGAATTTACTGGTTTCAAAACATTTGTTGATGAAATGAGACAGGAATTCATTCCTCATAATTATGATGTGACAAAAAAACCACTCTGTTGTCCCACTACCGGTATTGCCAAGAAATGAACAGTGCTACACAGATGTGATAAAGATTTTAGATTCATATGAAGAAACAGTTGCAGAAGTGTTCAGGGCCAGTGGCAGAGAAGTCAACAACAAAACCAGAGGACACAACAAAACCAGAGTACACAACAAAACCAGAGTACACATTGGAGGAGATCAACTTACTAGAGAAGGTTTTTCAGGAGCAAAGAGACTTCGAAAAGATGCTGTTAGTGGAGAGGAGCATTTGAGCACCTCTCTCCCATTACATTTGAACTTTTCCATTTGCAAATGATGTTATTAACAATATTTTATATTAGCTTTTATACAAAAAAGAAAGCTTTGAAAAAGGAACTCTTCATGGAGAGAAAATCAGACTTTCCAGGACTGAAGCAAATGCTGAGGATGTCAAGAACCACTTTGACCATTGCAAAGAACTTGCAGTGTCTTTAATAGACAGTTACATAGTGTTTGCAGCTCTGGAGTATTTTGGGATGGACAAACTGGATTCTGTGCCAACCAAACATTTTATACCAAGTTTGGATGAATAAAGTGAATATGAGAAGATGCCTGTTGTGCATTCATTAGAAAATTTCATTGATGCATACATTATAAAAGATTCAAAAGATTTACTCCACGAGCAATCTTCTACTGTACAGTTTATTCAAATACAGGTACAAATGCCAAATGGAAGTCCAGTGAATATTCAGCTGCCTCTTTCGACAAAATCTGAGCATATGCAAGCTTCACCAGATCATATCATGAACTATGGACTACGAATCTTAGAACTAGGACTTGCATTAAAAGGCCTTCAAAACAACATTAAAATTCCGAATAGAGACAGGTTTATGCCACTCATGAAGCACTTAATGTGTATTCTAAAGGGCCACAATAATAATTCCAAGTATGCTCTTGAAATTTTGCACTTCTTGGTCCAGCAGCAGTGCACGTGGATGAGAAGACAGCTTACCAGTCTTTTTATGGTCTCTTTGTCAACAATTATAAAGGAAAGTTTGATTCTTCAATTCCTGCAGACCTACAGATGGAACACATTGTGAGACTAATTAAGGACATACGCAACGTAGTTTGAACTTTATTGTCTTTTTTCATGGAGTTGAAGAGTTCCAATACTTAAAGGATCTGTGTATTACATTTTAATGTCTATATATGCTGTTGTACACTTCTCCTAAAAGAAGTTTGGATAAACAAAACATCTATAATACATGTTTAGTAATTTTTATATATTTTTCTTTGAATTATACAAAAATTTTCATCTACTGATATCTTTTCAAAACCCCTGGTAATACATGCTGATTTTTTGTCTACGAACATCTGATGGCACTATAATCTTACAATAAAAATATCTTGAAAAATTATCAGTAGATAAGGTACCTTGTGTATGTCCTTAAAGGTCACTTGAAAGCTGTCCATTCAAATAAAACAGACACTGCCATTGCAAAGAGAACAGCTGCCTTTGCTGGCATGAAAAACATAGCAGCATCTTTTGATGATTCCTCTAATGTTATTGTACGTTCTCAGAAGCACAAAATTGTTTCTTCACACTCTGATGAATGCATGATTATCAGTGACTTACAGAAGCTTAAACCTTTCCACTTTAAAGATGGACGGAAGTTACAATCATTTCCCAAACCTGTCCAGAGTCCCTTGAGTCATCTCAATATGCAGAAATTGAAGTCATGGATTTGTGAACACCAGTACAACCTTCACCATGAGTAAGAAATTAAGGTAAAACTTTATGAAAACATAAATACAGTAAAACATTCTTATAGTCAAGTCCTATGTACCTCAAAATTTGCTTTGATAAAAGAATTATTTGCTATATCAGTGTATATCCTAGTTAATTAAGAAAGAAGTTATTTTGAAAATTTGATAAAAAAGTTATTATAAGTGTAAATTTGTATAAGCTTGTTCGCTATAACTGTGTTTTACTGTTTTTAAACTTGAGGTTTGTTTATGAAGAGCTTCACATAATTAAAGAAAAAAATTCAAAAACAAAGAAGTTAAACTTACATATATTATAACAGTACTGTTAACTGAAATTATTCAAGCCAATTTTAAAAACATAGTTTATCTTAAAGACAAATCAATGACCTGTTTTATTACACAACATAAAGACTTTGCAACTGCTGGGGAAATTTGAAAGTCTTGGGTCAGTTCCTCCTCTGCAAGGTGTAATTTAGGAAAGCGAACTAAATGTTCAATACACTCCAAGCTTTACTTCTTCTTTCAGATCTGAGGAAGTCACAAAGGAAGTTAATGCAGATCTGAGAACAGACTTGTCTATCTCGGAATCCTTTTCAGCTGACTCAGAAGAGGGGCAAGAATCCTCACATACATCACACCAATTTTGAACAACAGCAGTAGATTCTGTGAATCCAAAGTGGGAGTTCAAAAAAAGCTCGCCTACAAATTAAGTGTGTCATTCCTGCAATACTCCTTAATTTCCTTTGAAATGTTTAGACGCCCCAAGTCACTGCTATTGAAGTACAAAATGGCTTCACACTGCATTTCACTGTTTTGTCCACCACGGCCAATATGCTGTATGTATGCTAAAAGTATAAAATTGAAATATAGAAGGAAAGTTTTGAAGTAAATATGGACCAAATTATTTTAAATATCACTATCACTACAATATGTTAATCATTATCACAAGAAATTAGTTTCCATAATGTAGAACTAAATTCTGCAATATACATGTGATATATTGTAGGTTACCTCCTACTTCTGATATTATTCCATCCACACTGATATAGCATATGATTTGATTTTTTATATTGAAGAAAATTTACGTTCCAGATTTTGGGGAGGACAAGCATGAATCACCTGAGCTACATGACGCAGGTCTGCCCCCATCCCTAGTGCTACTGTAGCAATAACAACTTTCAGGGGATTCTCTATGGGATCCTTTGCCAAATTCTTAAATATGATATCTTTGAGCTGAAATTCATTTATTATAATTGAGTAAGTTAAATTGAAATCTGTTGGAATATGAAAACAGAAATCCAGCATACATAGAGTTTCAAGACTCTATATATACTTTTGTGGCAGAAAATACAAACATTTGCTATGTAAATATTGACTTGAATGTCTCAGTTTTATCAATAGATCTTTGCATATGACTGTTAATTAGATTAAAGATCAACATAGGGAATTTGATGACTTTTACATGTATCATTTATTCAGTTGAACTGTAAGTGATCTGTTGTTTTTCTATCAAAAGAAATCAAACTCTATGTAGGTATGAGACATTTATTATATTCACCTCATCTCCTTTTTCCAAAGCAGAATGTAACATGACTACCCTTAGATTCTCTGCACATTTGTGTCCATCACCACCATATATACTGTCTCGAAAGATTCTCTCGGCAAGTTCAAACCCGTATCCCACCCAGTCCATGCTGCCACAGCAGTAAATCAGTGTAAGTGGATAATCCTGAGTTTTTTGTTTTATTTCACGGAAAACAGACTCAAACGCATCGTCAAAAGCCTTTTTCACAGATTTGTTTCTCCCAACACCAGGTCTCTTTTTTACAATAAGTTTGATGTTTTCCTTTGTAGGAACTGTGAGTCATCAGTAGGTGCTGGGCAACATTTTTCTGGCCATCTTTTAACAAAGTAGCACTTAATCCCAGCACTTGAGCATACAACAGCTCTTAATTGCTTAATTTCTCTGAAAACTGGACAGAATTCCTCCCCCCAATCTAGAATACAGTGTGCCTCATCGACAGCAAGATATGATTTCTGTTGACAGGAGTGTAGAGCTTGATATACAGCTTTGTTGCCAATGATGTTTTCAGGATGAGAAAATATATATGTGCAAGTACCTGATGCAGTTTTGTCAATATCACTTTAATTCATTTTGTTTTTTAAGCAAATGCTGGGTGTATTTCCTAAGTTTATTCAGTTGCTGCTCTATAATGATGTTAAAGGTGCTTATATATAGACACAGATTTGAAGTTCATATTTTCTCAAATTTTCTGTATAATATCACGACTTATATATTGCAATAGCATTTCACACGAAAATATTATTAAAAACTTATTTTATCTGGTAATTATTGGAACTACAAATTCCTGCACGCGTTTGATTTACACATCCTTGCACTTTCACAAATTTTATCTTTATCCCTAACATTTAAGAAAAGAAGCGATTTTGTTGTGTATAAATGAAAAACATTTCATCTATAATCAAGAAAATTCAGAGTAGAAATGTGCGAAAGCAAATCCCCTCACTAATATCGTCAGCCCGTGCTCAGTGTTGTGTACAGAGTTTAACAAATTGAATACACCTGTGAAACGTACACTGTGTTTGTAAACAGGGCACGAGCTCTGTTATTGTTAATGTTTACGATTCACCGGGTGTGTTCAATTGTTAAAGACTGCACACCACTGAGCACGGACTGACAATACTGTGAGTGGGTTTTGCTTTCGAACATTTCTACTCTGAATTTTCTGGATTATAGTTTTTATATTTTTCATTAATACACAACAAAATTGCCACTTTTCTTAAGTATTAAAGAATAAAATTAAAATTTGTGAAAGTGCAAGGACGTGTCAATCAAACGCGTTCAGAAATATGAAGTTTCAATAACTACGAGATGAAATAGGATTTTTATTATATTTTAGTATGAAATGCTATAGCAACATGTAAGTCATGAAATTTTACAGAAAATTTGAGAAAATATTAACTTCAAATCTGTGTCCAAGCACCTTTAAGGAGTTCAATAATTAACACAAAAGCATCCAGCTTAGTTTCTTCTTTGTAAGCTATAGGTAAAAATTCATATATAAAACTTTTCCTAAAACCGGTCGGCAACATACATACCACATCTGTCTGTTCATTATCCAGGAGTTTAAGTGCTTCCTTTTGTTTAGATTTTAGATATGCTATATTACAGTTAAAAGTGTTGTTGTATGTGTTTAGTATTTCTTTTTCTTTAAAATTTTCCGCGTGGAAAAAATTGAACAAAACCTTGATTATCTCTGCCAGCATCAGTGGTATGCCTATATTTTATATAATATATATATATATATATATATATATATATATATATATATATATATATATATATATATATATATATATATATATATATAAAATTATATATATTAATTTTATTTACATTTAGCTTGTGTGTGCTAATCTAATGAACATTAAAAGCTGTTATACCGAAATATTCTTAAACAGTGCAAGATTACTACCAGTTCTTTCAAAGGAAAGCCAACAACAGGAATTGAACCTGTTCCTCTATCGTAAAGATACGAAAGCATGCACCAGTACACCATGTTGGCATTTAAAATTAAAGATCTGGTAGCCTTGGAGAGTAAATATTGCATTATTTACTAGTTTAGGGAAGTGCACTGCACAAGTCAAGAAAATAACCTTTTTTTCTATTTTTGTATATATATGTTTATTTATCAGAGGATCTAACTCATTAATAACTCAACAGTAAACTCAATATAGCACTTGGACACAAGTAGTCCATCCCAATCAGCTACCAGAGGTACTGTAAACAAGCTCATGAAATTACCACCCCTACCTCCTTCCCGCTGCATTAAGTTTTAAAGTGCCAATTTACATATTTCTAAGAAACTGCTTTAAGAACCCTCTCTACACTGCACACTAAAGAGTTCTGATTCTATGGTATATTTCTGCAGTTAGAGTGATCTGCCCTTAGATCTCAATTCCAATAAATTGAAATTTACAGTATATTATACTCAATTTGTAATCAATTTAGTATTCTTAACATTTTAAAAAGGCCAAGATAAATGAATTGAACACTTTATTTGCGTGTACATTTGTATTTTCTCCACGGAAGTAAAGTACTAAACAAAAGTGATTTCTGTTCATTGATACTTTGTCGTCTCTGAACATTTTTCCTGGGGAGTAAATGCCACGTACTGTATATTGAAAATTAGATAGATAAGCTCAATATTTACACCTTGATTCAATTTTCTCAATGTCCAAATAAAACCTATTTTGCACTGGTGTATAGAGAGTCCTTAAGTAAAGTTTGTGTATTTAAAGTATGAAATTAAAATATTTCTATATAACCTGATATGAATTTTCAATTTTCTTTTGTCACTGATCTTGAATTTGCATGAATGACCTTAGGTCAAGGTCAATTATAAAATTTTAGTGTTTCTCCATTACAGAATCCTACTAATGTTATTATCCCCTCGCAACAAGTTGGAGGGAATATAGTAAAGCATTTGTGTGTTTGTTAGTAATACCCTTTCTGTTGTCATTCACACCATGCAGATTAAACATAGCACTAGCCCTCAATAAGCACCTATAATAACCATCACATTCTCTTACAATGGCCTCTCTTTGTCTTTGAAGAATATTTAAGGAATATCTATATATTTTTTTTTTGTACTATGATGTAGTCAAGCAATTAGTTTGCATAATATTGTCAAATTACCACACAAGATAGGTGCTTGAACATAATTAATGATTATAAAACCCCAAAATCTGATGGATTTACCACATACTATATTTAAATTTACCAGCTTGATCCAAGCCTTGCCCACTTTTCCTTCTCTCTCCCACCCTGCACATGTTTTATTACATGTAACTAACCATGCATATTGATAAACCAGTAGCTTTATGAAGAATACATTTTTTGTTATTTGTAATTTTATTTTGAAGAAAGAAATTTGAAAATATAACTATTAATGTATAAACTTTAGGTATTCTTGTACAGTGGATCTTCAGATATTGGACGCCAGATATGTGGACTTCTGGATGCTTTTTCATGGAAATGGCATTTCATAATGGTCCGTCAATTCTGCTCAAAGGAGTATTCTGCTTAAGTATAGTAGTGTGGTCCCTTTTTACACCCTTGGTTTACCGGTTAAATATTAGCATATGGTATTTTGTTCGTTTTCACTGTGTATAACAATGTATTTATAATTAAAACATAATTAAACATATCAAAAAATACAAGCCAATTTTTAACATCTATCGCACTAAAAAATGCTGGAACATTTTCCCCCGGTCAGACTACGGTTTCTCTATTACATGGAAATGGGCGGAGACATTTAGATTAGAAACTATAATCAAAGTACTGTAAGTACTGATAGACAGTGGCATAAACGATTTTGTGTTTAACGTCCCTCGAGAATTTTTCACTCATATTGAGACATCAAATACAAATAAAGTATATTGTTAACTTTTCTCTGTCACAGTCTTTATAATTATAACTTTGATAAATTAGCATTCGTTCAGTAGTTTTTCTGTCAGAGATAATAAGGCAATGGTTAATTATAATTTTTTTTAAGACAGAATCGTAATAAACTTTGCAAATTTTATGGCATCGTATCTGCCTCCAATAACTCTTGTATAAACTGATTATCGATAAGATGTCGTGATCTTTTTTTCCCCCGAAAAAATATACATATATTTCTAATATATTATCGTCAACAGATATTAGAAATTCAAACAATCAAAAGACATCGTAAAATTACAGTTAACTTTAAAAGTTTTATAATTGTATAAAAATTCTACGAAACTTTCAAATAAAACATTTATAAAACATGCAATTCCGGAACAAGGAATGTGCAGTCCTCGAATCATATTGTACTTATGAATTGGAGAAATTTGGAGATCAATGCTTTCCTAGCAGGGAGTATCTCATAATTAGGGAGTATCAAATTGTGAATGTCTCGTAATTACCGTTTGTCGCATACATGTAACTAAGAAACCACCGTGCGTGTGTTTAGCAATTATAATTATTTGATTTCAAAGTTAAAATGTGAAACCATTATTCTCAAATATTTTTCCCTTAAATATTCTGACTATTAATAAATATTATTTAAATTTTACATTAACACAACCTTAAAAAAAGCCGTGTGATTTCTGTAGTTTGCATACGAATATACGAGACGGTCTGTGTACGAGTTAGTTGTAGATCGATGTAATTTAATGAATATTCATGAAGGGAGAAATATCGATAGCGGCAAATATCAGGAATTAAGCTTTGTACCCATCAACAAAATGTCTGTGAAATAACTTGAGAGTATTTGTTAACTATGTGCATTTTATTTTCAAACATCAAATCAATCCTATTTTCATTATTTTGACTCTGCAAAAATCGCCGCTAGGGTCCCCATGATTTTACACTGTTGTTGTTTATAGCCCAAAAGCAGCAGCAATAGCCTGTGGCTATAAATAGCCACCGTCTAAAAAGAAGATCTTGGTATGATATTTTTCTTTTAAAGATTAATTATATGTTCAAGATTTACAATCAACTACAAATACAATTTTTTTTTTACAAAACTTTGGCAATAAAAGCTATAACAAGAAGAAGCAAACAAGTCCATATGCTGACTGATATAAAACTGAGTACGTTTCAGCTGAGAACTAGCACATTTACTGGGGGCATTTACCTGTAACCATACAAATCGACGTGGCTTGTTATGATTCTAAATAGGTCATAAAGGCATTAATCGCATGTAAATGAAGTCAGCAAAGAGATTCAAAATCACAATACTTTTAATTAGAAAACATAGAGCACAAGGTTTCAA